CATGAGAGATCTGGTCTAATGGGCCAAATACCAGGAAAACAATGAAGTTATACTCGAATGATGACTATTCAGAAAGAAAATTAACCCTGAGTTACACAATTATGCTGGTGTCTGTGACATGTCCCTTGTGAGCATATTGAGTAACTCACAGGTGTGGATCCAATGCATATAAGCGGGTGGTTTGATTTAGATAAACCTAACTCGAGAGGGATTAGACACGCCATGAGAAAAGTGTAAGGGTAAATTTGGGGCATTTGAGGCAAAATCCAAACACACCTGAGATGTCCTTGTACACTGGCTCTGCCTCAGGAGTTTCTAGTGAACAAGCATCCAAAGTAGAAGACGTCATGCCCACACAGTTATGATAGAGCACCAACTATGAAATGAGAAAGGAGAATCGCACTATGGACGACCTATCAAGTGCGAGTGGGAGATGTCAGACACTGGGCCTAAGTCTACCTTTGATGGGTCAGACTACTCAATCGAAAAGAAAAGAATCTCTTGGATCAAGAAAATCAATCACAAATTAGAAGCAATTAGTGATTGACTAGGGAATATTCAATCAAGCATTTAGTACTTGATTGATTGGAAAGAAATCAATCAGACATTAGTTATCGATTACGGAATCAAAATATTACCCCGCAATAAATGAGGGAGATTGTACCTTCCTGAAATATAGGCCACCCTAGCCATATAAATAGGAGGTGCCTCCAACCATTCTATTCACCCCAAACCGTAGAGCTTTCCGGTGTTCTCTTCTCTTCTCTCTGGTACATCTGCTATGCCATTCTATCAAGACTCTAGTAGTCAAAATACTACGGGAGCTACCAGCATCATGATTCGGAACCAACTCGGTACGTTTCCTTTCCCTATCTATTTTATTTCCTTGACATAGATTTTCATTTATACTTAAAATGGAAGGAAAAACACAAGTACCTTTATGTCTCCATTATAGCAACGTTTTGATACACAGTGATGTTTTTTTGGGAGCAGGAGCATCAGGCCCGTATTGTGCTTGAACTTGTGCTCTGGCTATGACAATCATCATCACCACCATCATCGTTATCTTCTTCTTCTTCTTCTTCATGCCCCTTTCTGCCATTTTTTCCTTTCGTTTCACTCTCCCTCTCTCTCTTCTTTGATATGCTTGCTTCTGAATATATATATCACGTACGCCTCTTTTTATAGCATTTGTGTGAGATATCGGTTTTATCTCTGCTGAATCATAATCTTAAATTATACCTTCAATATTGCAGAGTGGTTTGAGATTGCAGCAAGTTGAGGATTAACGGTGTGGTGAGTATCAGAGCGTAAGGCGACGGTAACAGTGCTGTTGTCATCATTTTCATATATCAAAAACAAGACCGAGAAGGTGAAGGATGAGACAGAGTGGGGGAGAGAGGGGAAAGGAGGGGAGGTGACTAGGCAGCTCAGTTGACATATTAAATGCCACCTGGAGTGCCACGTTAGCATAATCAGGTCACCTTCAATGTCGGTGCCTGTTAAGTTTGGGACAAACTTGATATGATATTACATTTTCAGGACATTTTGGAGTAGGAAAAAAAAAACTTCCGAGTATTGGGTGGTTCTCGATGTATATTTTTTAGTGTTTTAACATCTTATTCCTATAATTTTTAGACGAAGAAATCAAATATTTGATCCTTATAATTTTAGCTCATTTGTAATTTAGTTTCTAAATTTTTAACTCTGTATAACTGAGGCTTTATAGTTTTGGTTTGATTATAACTCAGTCTTTAAGTTTTGACTCGATACAACTCAATCCTTATAGTTAAACCATTTAAAAATTAGTCCCCGTATTTTAGAAAATAAAATTAAGGAAATTAATATTTTGTCTTTATAATTTCATTCGGTTAGTAATTCAATGCCCATAGTTAATATCCTTTTAACTATAAACAATACTTACGTCAAGTTTCTTATATTTATTACCACTCTGGTCCTTATTATTTCTGACTTGTAGGAGGGGATTTGGTCATTTTTACAGTCACTTGTACCCTTTTTTAATCATTTATTTTCAATTTTGTCCTTATTGATTGTAATAAAAAATTAACTAACTCAGATAGCGTTTTCTCAATATCCATCTCCTTAATAACAACAAAAATAGAATATTTCATCTGTTTAACGTTCTCATTGATATGTGAAAAGCTCCTATAAGTAACAAATTATATGGACTAGAGTGGTATGTCAAATTATCTAGTTACACATGATGATATGTTCTATTTTTTAAATATTAACATTTAATGATATTAAATTATAAACCCAACCACATGGAAAAATAAAATAAAATAGATGACTGTTTGTAATTAGAAAATTTGACATAATTAGTATAAGTGTAATATCCCAAATTTTATGGATTTGAGTAAAGCATGATGAAGGAGAAATTTTTAGAGAAATTGTTGAGATTAAGACCTTTAAAATATGGTCTAAATAATTATAAAGTTAATTTCAGGAATTTAGGACCTATTTCTTGGAAATTCAAGGAAAAATAGTTAGAGGATAATTTTTGAGCTGAGATTTTTAGGAAAATTATTTCATGGACTAAAGAAGCTAATGGAAGAAGAAAATCCATATAAAATATCCAGGTTTGATTTCTGGAATTATCTGATTATCCTGGAAAAATAGAGAAGGATCAAATTGAAGGGAAAATGAAGACCAAAGGGTATAATAGTTATTTCACACGCCCTTACCGACTTATTCTACCCTAATATCTTCTCCCTTCTTATTTTTCCCCTGCTGCACGACTGAAACAGAGCAAGAGTGAGACGGTGGACTAGGGGAAGAACGAGGAAGAAGAGGAGGTGATTGAAGGAGACAATCGGTTCATCTAGAAGTGGAAATCAAACCAGGTGAGTCTCCTGAATCTTCTTCCATCTTTGTTTTCTGTTATTTGGTCATGTGTTGCAAGACGATGATGAAATGAAATCTGGTTTTTGAGAGAGAAAGTGAAGAGCATGAGAGCTAAGTGAAGAGCGTGAGAGCTAAGCCATAAAAATCGTGCTTAATGGTGAGGATAGAGTTTGTGGTTGGAATTTTTACACTTGCTTGTATAGTTGATTACTCTGGTTTTAGTTACCGCAACAGGGACGTTCAGTTTGTTCGGTGGTAGTTTGAGAACCTTGGAGGTGTAGATGTAATATATATATATATACACACACACCCGTATGTGTGTGGGTGTCGTCCGTGTCAAATCTGGAATTTTAGTGGCAATATCTCAAGCTGGAAAATTGAAGTTATCATTACGGGTTGATGCTCTGCAGCTATTATTGGCATATTGAGTTGTTGGATCAGGTTTAAAAGCTCTATTGTGAAAGTAAGAAAATAGTTTTAAAGCTGGAGAATTTTTAGAACTAAAGTAAAGAGTGCTGTTCCAAATTGGGAGTATGTTTAGAATCTGGAAATTTTTTCCAGAATTGCTTATGACTGTGGCGTGAAAAATAGGAAGGGAAGAGAGATGATTAAACCTCAGTGTAGACATATTAAAATATTTTTGGAAGCATGGGGTGCTGTCCGAAATTGATTAAAGTGTGAAGATAGATATCGAAATCTGAAAAAGTTTACAGCTTAGCAAGGTTGTTGAGATTAATGTAGAATTTGAATACTGATTTGAGAGGACTGAATCAAGATTTTTGGACCTTAAAATGGGAAATAGAATGACGCATATGAAGCTGGAATTGTGGGAGAAATATCCGAAAAGATTAATGTATGCTAATTGTTTATAAGTTTGTGGAGTATAATTGTTATATATATATATATATATGCGTGTGTGTGACTTTTGGAAGTATGACCGTGGGAAGCATGAGGGAAATGGGAGAGTACTTAAATACTTATACCTATATATATATATATTAATCTATCCTTGCCTATATAATTTATAGGATTTGATATTTGTTCAAGTCCATTAAGAAGGGAGCCAAGGAAGAAGCAAGGGGAAGTTAGTACGGAAGAAAAAGCAAAAGGTAGTAACTCTTTTCCTTTAATGTGATTGTGCATTGATTGCCACATGCTTGGATGTGCCTTTATGCTGATTGTGCATGAGAACATGTAAGTTGCCTTTGCATAATAATATTTTTCATGACAATATGCGCTGGTTTCCATTTATTTTGGAATGTGGGCGCGATAGATAGCGATTAGCTATATGGGTGTATGGTGTATATGCATCATTGATTATACTTGGATGCAAGGTGTTGTTCTCTTTGGCCTGTGTAGCATGTGTTTGTGATCTTGTATGATTACGTGAGGGAAATTTGTTACTACTGGGATTCTTTAGAATCTCACCCCTTTTTCCATGTAATACAGCAAGAGCAAGTACTTCTAAGGGCAAGGGAGTAGTGATCGGTGGAGTTTAAAGGTGCAAGAAGCTGGCGATCATTTGGACATATATATTTTGCTTAAAATGCATCTTATTTTGGAGTAAAGATATATGTTGTATATCTATTGTGGTATGTAAATATTCCTCCATAAGGAGATGACTAAGGGCAGATAGATCATAATGACTGCTATTGAGGGAAATAGTCAAATTTTTTTGATATAATTATTATTTGGCCTAAAATTTATGTGTATCTAATTATGTATCTCGTCGTGTGAGCCAATGGCCAGGGTGTCAAATGTTAAACCCTATTGGCTATAGTTGACTTAATTCAGGATTCGGAGGGCCGAATGGAAATAAAAATTATATATATATAATTCCCAGGATGAAACCTGGCTTTTAATGGATCATGATTAAATAGAATAATTCTACTAGTATATAAGGGATAGGTGTTACATTTTTGGTATCAGAGCGGAGGTTCTGGCAAGAGGTCAAAATGCTCTGCTCGCTTGAGATACATAATTTTGTTTTGGTTAATTGTAACAAAGGTGCATATATTGTGGTGTTAGCAATTTGATTCCTACCATTATTTTACAACTGTCTGCTTGTGATTTTAAATTAGAAATTTAGTGTTACTATTATTATTGATTATGATTTATTTCATGATCTGTAAAAGATGGTTATACTCAGAGGAGGCAGAAGTGGAGGTCGAGTTGATGAAAACAGACCCCCACCTGACCCTCTACAGCAAATATTGGACAGACTTAATGAACAACAGCAAATGATAAATGAAATTAGAGAGAATCAAGCTAGACAGGACCAAGAAAGAGAAGAAAAGAATAGGAATGATATTCCTATTGGAGGCTTACAACAACAACCCGAATTACAACCACGACAAGACCCACAGCTGGTCCCTGAAGTGGCTTCTGAAAGACCAATTGCAGAGCAAGAAAGTCTACAATATTGGATTTCCAAGTTCTGTAAGCATCAACCGCCATCATTTATGGGCAAATTTGATGTACAAGCAGCTGAGGATTGGGTAATGAAATTGGAGAAGATTTTCAGGGTCATGGAGTGTTCTACTGAAAGAAAAGCTCAAATGGCGATATATAAGCTGGAAGGTGATGCAGATAGATGGTGGAAAAACACCGAACTGCTTTTGCAAGCTAGGAACGTTCCACTTACATGGGAAGTGTTTAAAGAGAAATTTAATGAGAAGTATTTCCCTCAGTCAATTAGAGATGGCAAAGAAGCTGAGTTCCTGACACTGGCACAGGCTGAAAATGAATCATTTGATGATTATCTAGCTAAGTTCATCCGATTGTCCCGGTATTCCACACAACTACAAGAGCGAAATAATGAACGTTGGAGTACTGGGAAATTGATTCGTGGATTGAAGCCTATTTTGAGAGAAAAGCTAGCTCCCATGCAGCTGGCTCATTTTGATACAGCAGTGGAGGTATGCAGAATCACTGAAAGTAACCTGCAACCTCAAAATGTGATCAAAGGCTATAGTAAGCCAGAAGCTTCTGAAGGACCATCAAGGAAAAGAAGTAATCCGACTCCTTGGGATAGGAGAAATGCAAAAAGAATGAATCAACCAAAGAAGCCAGGATCCCAAAGAGTTGCAGAAGTGAAAGAATGCCCTTACTGCGGCAGAAACCATGGGAACAGGCCATGTTGGTTTGGGCCCAATGTTTGTTATAGATGTGGAAAGCCTGGTCACTTTGCTCGAGAATGTGGGCAAAAAATGGAGGAGTTCAGGCCCAGGAATCAAGGTAAAGTCTTTGCTATGACTCATGAGGATGCTCGCAAGTCTCCAAATATGATCCAAGGTACAATCCGACTTAATGGCAATTTAGTGCAAGCATTGTTTGACTCTGGTGCTAGTCATTCTTTTATTGCTTATGAATGTGCTAGACGACTAGGGTTAAAGGTTGATAAATTGCCTTATGACTTGGTTGTGTCAACGCCCACAGGTGCTAAAGTTATTACTGCTAGTGTTTGTTTAAATTGTTTAATTCAGTATGAGCAAAATGATACAGTCATAGACCTTATCTGTATGTCGTTCCAAAATATGGATATAGTTATAGGTCTCAACTGGCTATCAGCTAATAATGCATTGATTGACTGTGGAAATAAAAGGCTTGTGTTTCCTAATTCCCAAAAGATTAATGAAATAGAGCCTGAGTTAAACTTCATCTCTATAACTCAAGCAGAAAAGTGGTTACAGAAAGGATGTCAAGGGTACATGGTTTTCTTTTCACTGCAAGCAGAAGCAACAGTAAATTTAGATGAGATACCAGTGGTTAGGGAATTTCCTGAAGTATTTCCTGATGACATAAGTGGGTTACCCCCTGAAAGAGAAGTGGAATTTGCAATTGATATAATACCTGGAGCAGGACCAATTTCAAAAGCCCCGTACCGTATGGCTCCTAATGAAATGGTAGAATTGAAGAAACAAATAGAGGAGTTACTAGAAAAAGGGTTTATACGACCCAGTGTTTCGCCATGGGGTGCTCCGGTGTTATTTGTAAAGAAGAAAGATGGAAGCCTCCGATTATGCATTGATTACAGGGAATTAAATAGGGTGACTATCAAGAATAAGTACCCACTTCCTCGAATAGATGACTTACTTGACCAGTTGGCAGGTTCTTGTGTATTCTCCAAAATTGATCTTAGATCGGGTTATCATCAGTTACGGGTGAAAGCAGAAGATATACCAAAAACTGCTTTTAGAACTCGGTATGGGCATTACGAGTTCTTGGTGATGCCATTTGGACTGACTAATGCACCGGCAGTATTCATGGATTACATGAACCGAATCTTTCGACAGTATTTGGATCAATTTGTGGTGGTGTTCATTGATGACATTTTGATATACTCCAAGAATAGAAAAGAACATGAGGAACATTTGAGAATTGTCTTAGAAATTCTTAAGAAGAAGCAGTTATATGCTAAGCTCAGTAAATGTGAATTTTGGCTTACAGAAGTTAAATTCTTAGGCCATGTTATCTCATGTGATGGGGTTGCAGTAGATCCTAGTAAAGTGGAAGCAGTGCTGAAATGGAAAAAGCCTGAAATGGTTACAGAAATAAGAAGTTTTCTGGGTTTAGCTGGTTACTATAGAAATTTATCCAGAATTTCTCCAGGATTGCTTTACCGCTGACTAAGCTCACTAGAAAGAACCAACCCTTTGTATGGGATGATAAGTGTGAGGCCAGTTTTGAAGAGTTAAAGAAAAGACTCACGTCCACTCCAGTCCTGATTATTCCTGATCCCAAACAGACCTATGTAGTCTATAGTGATGCAAGTAAACATGGTTTGGGATGTGTCTTGATGCAACAAGGCAGAGTGGTAGCATATGCCTCTCGACAACTTAAACCTCATGAAGAGAATTATCCTACACATGATCTAGAGCTAGCAGCAATAGTGTTTGCTCTCAAGATATGGAGACATTATCTCTATGGAGCAACTATAGAATTATACTGTGACCACAAGAGCCTCAAGTATTTACAAGATCAAAAAGAATTGAACATGAGGCAGAGAAGGTGGATGGAACTATTGAAAGATTATGATTATGAAATCAAATACCATCCGGGCAAAGCAAACGTTGTCGCTGATGCCCTGAGTAGAAAAACAGTGCAAGTGGCAGCTCTAATGATTGAGGAACAAGAATTATTGGAGAAATTTAGAGATTTTAATTTGTCCAATCAGATGATATTAGCAGGTTATGGTGCCACTCAAGTGGAAAGTGACTTGAGAGATGAAATAGAAGCAGCTCAGGAACAAGATGACTTGAGGAGATCAATCAAGATTAAAATTGAAAAAGGAGAGACACAAGATTATGATTTTTCGCCTAGTGGGCTGGTTAGATACAAGAAAAGAGTTTATATTCCACTGAAGGCTAAACTTAGACGGAGAATTCTTGATGAGGCACATAAAAGTAGATATACCCTTCATCCGGGCATGACAAAGATGTATCACAATTTGAAGTCATTATATTGGTGGCCAAGAATGAAAAGTGATGTCACAAAGTATGTAGCTCGCTGCCTCACATGCCAAAAGATTAAGATAGAGCATCAGAAACCTCCAGGACCTTTACAACCACTAAAGATTCTAGAATGGAAATGGGAAAGTGTGACGATGGACTTTGTTGGAGGTTTGCCAAGAACAGCAGCTGGGTATGACACCATTTGGGTGATAGTTGATCGTTTAACAAAATCAGCTCATTTTCTTGCAATTAAAGCTAATTATACCTTGGAGAAGCTGGTACATGTATATATTAAAGAGATAGTCAAACTCCATGGTGTACCAATTAGCATTGTATCAGATAGGGATCCACGATTTACTTCAAAGTTTTGGCGATCTCTTCATGAAGCTATGGGCACTCAACTGAAATTTAGCACAGCTTATCACCCTCAAACTGATGGTCAAACAGAAAGAACTATCCAAACACTTGAAGATATGTTGAGAGCTTGTGTTTTGGATTTTAAGAAAAACTGGGATTATATCTTGCCATTCGCTGAGTTTGCATATAATAATAGCTATCACGCGAGTATTCAGATGGCGCCATATGAAGCACTGTATGGAAGGAGGTGTCGATCTCCATTGTGCTGGACTGAGCTAAGGGAGAGAAGGTTGTATGGTCCAGAATTAGTTGATCAAACCACAGAGCAGATCAAAATTATTAGAAAAAGACTGCTTTCTGCTCAAAGCAGACAAAAGAGCTATGCTGATAAGAGAAGGAGACCATTAGAATTTGAAGTCGGAGATCATGTATTCCTCAAAATTTCACCGACCACGGGTATTGGGCGAGGAATGAAGACGAAGAAACTGAGCCCAAAATACATTGGTCCATTTGAGATTCTTGGTAAAGTTGGACCAGTGGCATATCAAATAGCTTTGCCTTCGCAATTAAGTAAGTTACATAATGTCTTTCATGTCTCTCAGTTGAAGAAGTATCAACCAGACCCTGAACATATAATTGAACACGAAGAGATGAGTATACAGGATAATCTAACCTTTGAAGTAGAGCCAGAACGAATAATTGATCGTCAGGAAAAACAACTCAGGCACAGAAGTATACCATATGTGAAAGTGGTTTGGAAGGGATTAACTCCTAGAGAAGCAACTTGGGAATTAGAGGAAGGCATGAAGAAACAATACCCAGATTTTATGCTTCAAGGTACGTTTTAAATTTCGAGGACGAAATTTATTTTACGAGGGGAGAATTGTAATATCCCAAATTTTATGGATTTGAGTAAAGCATGATGAAGGAGAAATTTTTAGAGAAATTGTTGAAATTAAGACCTTTAAAATATGGTCTAAATAATTATAAAGTTAATTTCAGGAATTTAGGACCTATTTCTTGGAAATTCAAGGAAAAATAGTTAGAGGATAATTTTTGAGCTGAGATTTTTAGGAATATTATTTCATGGACTAAAGAAGCTAATGGAAGAAGAAAATCCATATAAAATATCCAGGTTTGATTTCTGGAATTATCTGATTATCCTGGAAAAATAGAGAAGGATCAAATTGAAGGGAAAATGAAGACCAAAGGGTATAATAGTTATTTCACACACCCTTACCGACTTATTCTACCCTAATATCTTCTCCCTTCTTATTTTCCCCTGCTGCACGACTGAAACAGAGCAAGAGTGAGACGGTGGACTAGGGGAAGAACGAGGAAGAAGAGGAGGTGATTGAAGGAGACAATCGGTTCATCTAGAAGTGGAAATCAAACCAGGTGAGTCTCCTGAATCTTCTTCCATCTTTGTTTTCTGTTATTTGGTCATGTGTTGCAAGACGATGATGAAATGAAATCTGGTTTTTGAGAGAGAAAGTGAAGAGCATGAGAGCTAAGTGAAGAGCGTGAGAGCTAAGCCATAAAAATCGTGCTTAATGGTGAGGATAGAGTTTGTGGTTGGAATTTTTACACTTGCTTGTATAGTTGATTACTCTGGTTTTAGTTACCGCAACAGGGACGTTCAGTTTGTTCGGTGGTAGTTTGAGAACCTTGGAGGTGTAGATGTAATATATATATATATACACACACCCGTATGTGTGTGGGTGTCGTCCGTGTCAAATCTGGAATTTTAGTGGCAATATCTCAAGCTGGAAAATTGAAGTTATCATTACGGGTTGATGCTCTGCAGCTATTATTGGCATATTGAGTTGTTGGATCAGGTTTAAAAGCTCTATTGTGAAAGTAAGAAAATAGTTTTAAAGCTGGAGAATTTTTAGAACTAAAGTAAAGAGTGCTGTTCCAAATTGGGAGTATGTTTAGAATCTGGAAATTTTTTCCAGAATTGCTTATGACTGTGGCGTGAAAAATAGGAAGGGAAGAGAGATGATTAAACCTCAGTGTAGACATATTAAAATATTTTTGGAAGCATGGGGTGCTGTCCGAAATTGATTAAAGTGTGAAGATAGATATCGAAATCTGAAAAAGTTTACAGCTTAGCAAGGTTGTTGAGATTAATGTAGAATTTGAATACTGATTTGAGAGGACTGAATCAAGATTTTTGGACCTTAAAATGGGAAATAGAATGACGCATATGAAGCTGGAATTGTGGGAGAAATATCTGAAAAGATATTTGTGGAGTATAATTGTTATATATATATATATATATATATATATGCGTGTGTGTGACTTTTGGAAGTATGACCGTGGGAAGCATGAGGGAAATGGGAGAGTACTTAAATACTTATACCTATATATATATATATATATTAATCTATCCTTGCCTATATAATTTATAGGATTTGATATTTGTTCAAGTCCATTAAGAAGTGAGCCAAGGAAGAAGCAAGGGGAAGTTAGTACGGAAGAAAAAGCAAAAGGTAGTAACTCTTTTCCTTTAATGTGATTGTGCATTGATTGCCACATGCTTGGATGTGCCTTTATGCTGATTGTGCATGAGAACATGTAAGTTGCCTTTGCATAATAATATTTTTCATGACAATATGCGCTGGTTTCCATTTATTTTGGAATGTGGGCGCGATAGATAGCGATTAGCTATATGGGTGTATGGTGTATATGCATCATTGATTATACTTGGATGCAAGGTGTTGTTCTCTTTGGCCTGTGTAGCATGTGTTTGTGATCTTGTATGATTACGTGAGGGAAATTTGTTACTACTGGGATTCTTTAGAATCTCACCCCTTTTTCCATGTAATACAGCAAGAGCAAGTACTTCTAAGGGCAAGGGAGTAGTGATCGGTGGAGTTTAAAGGTGCAAGAAGCTGGCGATCATTTGGACATATATATTTTGCTTAAAATGCATCTTATTTTGGAGTAAAGATATATGTTGTATATCTATTGTGGTATGTAAATATTCCTCCATAAGGAGATGACTAAGGGCAGATAGATCATAATGACTGCTATTGAGGGAAATAGTCAAATTTTTTTTGATATAATTATTATTTGGCCTAAAATTTATGTGTATCTAATTATGTATCTCGTCGTGTGAGCCAATGGCCAGGGTGTCAAATGTTAAACCCTATTGGCTATAGTTGACTTAATTCAGGATTCGGAGGGCCGAATGGAAATAAAAATTATATATATATAATTCCCAGGATGAAACCTGGCTTTTAATGGATCATGATTAAATAGAATAATTCTACTAGTATATAAGGGATAGGTGTTACAATAAGCACCTTGTGCTAAGTATTTTCCTTTAATTAATTCCATGTGAAGGGCATTCGTTCTCGCTATGATACCTCTTGAAGTCTTGATGAACTCCGTTATTTTTTTATGAGATGACCGGCGGCAAAAATCTGATTTGGCAACATACGTCCACCCTTTATCGCTGTTAGATGAGATGGCTGGGAGCAATATTGTTGGTCCAACAAATATGAGGGTGAAATTATTAAAGCAAATTGAAGAATTGCGAATTAGTTTCATGTGATTTCATGCTTACACACACATCAAACAATGGCAGAGTGACATGCACATAAATTAAAAAGAAAAGTTTCCATTCTTTTAAATGCTCTTTACTAAATGAATCTGATCAAGAGGATAGAATGGAATTATAAGGCTGTTCCTCATTTAAGATCCACTCAACCACGCCTCGTTTCTTTTGATTCGAAACCTCTCTTCTTCTTTTTCCATCCTCTTTTTTTCAGCTCGGAACCCTCATCTTCTCTTCCCATTCTCTTTTTTTT